ATAAATGTATATTTTTATGATTGATTTGTATGTATTGTTTACCGTTTTATTTAGTTTGTAAATATTTGTGTGATTTTAGTTGTAATCGTATTTTAATTCTCATTTATAAGTTGTAAAGTATAGTTAGGATTTGTGGTGTTGGAGAGGAAGACTTTGAAGAGAAGAAAACAAGAAATTTGACTGCCCAGGAGTGAAACCCGACCGGGTAGAAACCCTCACCCGGTCGGGTATGATTTAACAGACGAAATTGCCAAGAAAGTCACTGGACCCGGTCGGGTCCCCTACTTGACCCGGTCGGGTCAGATGTGACCCGGGACAAAACGACGTGCGAAGATCACTAGAACGTGGCGAATTATCTGATTTTGACTGGACCCGGTCGGGTAAGTACTTGATCCGGTCGGGTACCCGGCCAAAGGTGTTGAAAAACACCTATAAATAGCACACTTTTTCTTCTCTAAAAATGATCCCTTCTTCCATTCTCTTTAGCTCAGTTTAGAATAGTCTTTCTTTATATTTTTCTAGCTATGTTTAGCCTCCAAATGAGGAGCTAAACTTCCATTCTTGGTGTTGCTCTTGAAGCTTGTTGATTATTAAAGTTGTGAGTTATTTTCTTAACTTCTTTCCTTGAATATTAATGAATAGTTCTTTCCTTACTACCATCTCTATATTAATGTTGAGGAGTGTTGCTAAGATGACAATTAGTTAACATCTCGACATTAGTTAGAATGGTATTTTCTTCATCTATATTAATATTGGGGAGTGTTGCTAAGATGACAATTAGTTAACATCTTGATATTAATTATAGTAGGATTCATCTTCTTTAATAATATTCTTCCTTGAATATTAATTCATTCCTACTCTTATTTCATATTAATATTTTGAACATTACTTAAAGGATCAACTAGTTTTGTTTCATATATTAATTATTACTAGAAACGATCAACGAACCGATGATTAATCGTTGATGGTTTCACAAGTAAGTAACTTCGGTTTATTAATGCACGATCGTGGTTAATAAACTTAAGAGGGATTAATTTTGTTGGTTAAACCGAAACCGCTTATGTTGAGGTTATCAATCTCAATTGATTTCATCAAGGAGTTAGAAAGATTAAATGCTACTATTAAATCGGTATACGACGTTGTTCTATATTTGATTAATAGTAAGGGTTATTAATGAACGGTCGTTGTTAATAACTACCCTCGATGAAGTGGATATACTCCCCGATTGAGTATTCGAGAGGGAATAAGTTATAGATATAACAATGATCGACTAAAATATATCAACAAGTGGAAAGTAGCAATGCCACGCCCTTTTTATCTTTGAATTAAACACATATATGTTGTTCATCTTAGTTTCTTAATTGAATTAAATCACTCAAAACCAAAACCCCCCTTTTAATTACTAGTTTCATAGAAAGAAAATCATTCCTTTCCCTGTGGATACGAACTCTACTACGCTATACTACGTATAAGTGTTTAGTATTGAAATTATTTTGACGCACCGTGACAAAGTGCTCGTCAGCGGTCTACTAGCCGGCATGTTGTTGTCTTCAACTTGTATGTTCCAGGACCGATCACGGCGTCAACCAGGTAAGGGCCTTCCCACTTGATGGAAAGCTTACCTCACTCTGTCGGCTTGCTGGCCTTCCTTCGCCTCAAGACATAATCACCAACAGCAGGTCCTCCGGTGCTCGGCTTCACCTTGGTCGGACAGTGTTGGTTGGGGACCGGCGGCCGCCACTCTGCCGGTAGGCGTTGCTCAGGAAGCCTTACGTGCACTTTGTCGTGGTGTGCACTCAAAATAAATAAATACAATACAACACTTATATGTAGTATAATGAAGTAAGGTTCATATCCACGGGGGAAGGAAAATCTTTCTTTTAATTAAATAGTAACAAGGGGGATTTTATGATTGTTGATAAACTTAAATGTATTTAAACACTAAGATGAACGACTTATGTGGTTTGCTTTAATAGAGATGAAGACTTGGTTTTGCTTTTATCCATTTAATGAAATGTTCGTCGATCCCGGTTATATCTTTAACTATCTTCCTCTCGAATACTCAATCGAGGAGTATATCCAGTTCATCGATGGTAGTTATTAATAACGAGACGCGTTCATTAATAAAACTTACTACTGAGTTAATATAGAACACGCGTTGTATATCAACCCGGTAGTAGCAATAAAATCAAGATGTAAACGATTGAGATTGATAACCTCAACACAAGCGGTTTATTGGTTTAATCAACATAATTAATTCCCCTTAGATTATTAACCATGAGACGCATGCATTAATAATCCAAGTTTACTATTGTGGATGAACCGAATTAATAACAAGCGTATTAATCGATCAATTCTAGTAATAATTAATATATGAAACAAAACTAGTTGATCCTTTAAGTATTGTTCACAATATTAATATGAAATATGAATATGAATTAATTAATACTCAAGGAAGAATATTAAGGAAGATGAATCCTACTATAGTTAATATCAAAATGTTAACTAATTGTCATCTTAGTAACACTCCCCAATATTAACATAGAGGAAGAAATAACTATTACTATAACTAATGTCAAGATGTTAACTAATTGTCATCTTAGTAACACTCCCCAACATTGATATAGAAATAGTATTTAAAGGAAGAATTAATATTCAAGGAAGAAAATTAAAGAGAATAACTCAGAACTTATAAATTCATTAAGCTTCAAAGTAGCAAAACCAAGATGGCAGAGTTTAGCTCCTCATTTGGAGACTAAACATGATGAAAATATAAAGAAAGAACTTATCTAGACTGAGCTTAGAAGTATAAAGAAATTGGTGGTTTTTTGTGGGAAGAAAAGGGATGTATTTTTAGGGAAATGGAGTATGCAAGAGTGTGTACCCGATCGGGTATAGAAGGCTCCTGATCGGGTACACTCAGAAGCTTCCCGGAAGCTAAAAACGTCATGCATACCCGACTGGGTGTGTCGGCTACCCGATCAGGTATGACACTTGAACATGACCAAAATCTTCCCCGCATGTTGCATTGTTCCCGGATTGATCCGATTTGATTTTTCAGCAGGGTACCCAATCGCGTATAGGTCATACCCGACCGGGTACAACACAAAAATTCAAGATCATTATTTTTGTCTTGAGATTTTGCACCTTCCTTCCACTTTTGATGTTCACCAATGGTCCCTAGAGTGATCTTGGACCTGTTTGAGCTCAGAATAAACCTAATCTAAACAAATTACAAATATTTTACAAACTAAACTATTACACCAAAAGTAATTAAAAACATAAACATAAACATGGAAATTACGTGAATGTCAAAGCCGACCAATACCCACCAGGCGGCCAAGGAAGGTGCTCCCTTTGTTGACGCACTCCATGTTGGCATGCGGTTTGACGTTTTCTTATTCTCTCTCTCTCTCTCTCTCTCTCTCTCTCTCTCTCTCTCTCTCTCTCTCTCTCTCTCTCTCTCTCTTGTCTATGCAGGTTTGCTTCAAGGTTGGAGGTGCATCGTGGACTGCTCATTGTTTCCCGGACAAGCTCTCACCGTCCATCAAGGTCCTTCCCCTGCAACTGGTCGCCTGGTGCTGGGTGGATGACCTCCTGCGCTACATAGCCGACGGGACGCTCCCCGATAAAGAAGTGGAGGCAAAGCTAGTCCGGCGACGAGCTTCGGACTACGTCGTCTTGGACGGGAAGCTGTACAAGAGGTCCTACAATGGGACCCTACTAAAGTGTTTGCGCCCACACGTGGCGGACATGATCGTCTCTGAACTCCACGGGGGAGTGTGCTCCGCACACCAGGGAACATGCACGATAACTAGGAAGGTCGTCCTCCCAGGGTACTTTTGACCGACAATAATCAAGGATTGTACCGACTATGCAAGGAGATGTGAGACATGTCAGAAGTTCCAGAAGAGCCCCGGTCGGCCAGCAACGATGTACACACCGATCAGCACCGCCCTTCCATTCACAAGATGGGGCGTCGACCTGGTCGGTCCCTTGCCAACCGGGTCGGGAAACCGAAAGTTTGTCATCGTCGCAGTGGACTACTTTACGAAGTGGGTTGAGGTCGAGTCGCTCGCCAACATCACACATCTCCAATGTAAGAAGTTCATATGGAAGATTATGTTTTGCCGGTTTGGGGTTCCCCTCCAAATAATCTCCGACAACAGAAGGCAGTTTGACTGCGAAGCTTTCTGACGGTGCTGTGCAAAGTGAGACTTCGATTCTCTACTGGTAAAACTTTATTAGGTGCTCCGCATTCCAGACGCGGTCTACTAGCCGGCCTGTTGTTGTCTTCAACTTGTATGTTTCAGGGCCGATCACGGCGTCAACCACGTAAGGGCCTTCCCACTTGATGGAAAGCTTACCTCCCTCTGTCGGCTTGCTGGCCTTCCTTCGTCTCAAGATGTAATCACCAACGTCAAAATTCTGAGACCGGGCTCGGCTGTACTGGTATGCCTTGACGTGTCATCGATAGCTTTCTGCTTTGATGAAGGCACAGTCTCTTCTTTCCTCAGTGAGGTGGAGCTCGGCTCGGAGCCTCTCCTCATTGGTGGCTGGTTCGAACTCTTCCACTCGTCGGCTGGGGACTACGGCCTCGAACGGTGCCCTCGCCTCAAAGCCATAACACAAGGCGAATGGGGTCTCTTCGGTTACCTTCCTTGGGGTTGTTCTGAAGGACAAGAGTATATTGTTCAACTCCTCCACCAAGGCAATCCCAAGGGTCTCCAACTTCTTTTGCAATCCATCGACGATCGTCCGATTGGTGTTCTCCACCTTTCCATTTGCCTGAGGGTAGCAGACCGCAACCCGGCTGGATTCTACGCCCCACTCTGTGCAGTACTGCCGGAAGGCTTCGTAGTCAAACTGTCTTCCTTTGTCGGAGATTATTTGGAGGTGATGAGAATATTTTATGGTGTTCAATCTAATTAAATATCTTTGTATTTGTGTAGTTATTAATTAACACCACCAAACATATGAAAACTGCTACACGGGCTACTGGTCATGCGGCATGGACTGCTCTCAGCTCCACGACAGCAGATTCCCAAGGAATCGTCTCCTCACGCCCAGAGCAGACTATTTCGCCTTCAATCGTAATAGACGCTACTGGAGAAGTGCCAGTCAACACCAGCATCGCAGACACCAACATGCGCACCAGCTCGTGACCAACCGCTATACGCATACAGGTTACAACAACTTCCCCTGTAAACCGACTGGGCACAAAACAATAAGTGATTTCGAATCAGGGCTCAACCTAGAGGAAAGACGATGCAAAACCGACCACCGACAACGAATTTGGTCACACAGTCAACACCCACCACCCAGATTTACGGCAAGGGAATCTGAGGAAGGATGGTGCACGGTCAGATATAGGGGACGCCAAAGCTCTCGGAATACAGGGCGACAGGGCCCTCTCCCCAACCAACATCTCCCGGAGCGTCAACGCCTCAGAGAAAAAACAATCACAGGTAACTCTTATCGCTACCTAAACTTAGCAATTGAGGACGATAACCCTAATTCGGCAGAAATCACCCAGAACAAAATAGATTCAAGCGATAAAAATGGGGCAAGGGTATCAAGCGCTCAAAATTCTTCAGCCTGGGAGGGACACATGGCGAAATCCGGACGAAATACAGGAGACATAGAGCGTGTCAAGCCGGTCCCTTTGTTTGATAGTTCAGCCGTAGACATACAGCCTGTCAAGGTTATGCGAGCACCTGCTTTCAATCGTCCCTTCACATGGGCAGATTTGGTAAGGTCTGATAAAGACGAACTTATTGACGTGGCAGCTCTTACTCGGTCAATCTGAACCCACACCTCTGTACAAAAGGAAAGACAATTGACCCCAGTCAAAACCAATGATAGGGACCAGGCCGAAATTACTCAGCCACAGGATATTATAGAGGAAAAATTCGAGTTCTTTGGAGAAGAGGGTTTCGATTCTATAAAAATAGAATATAAATTATTTAGATTTGCCGTTCGAAACAGCTACATTGTCATTTTGCAAATAAATAAATCCTCGCTGCACAGGATAAATATGCAAACCGAACTAGTACCTCAGCTCTATCAGTATATTTATCATCTCTCAAGTTCAGACAGCTGTAAATTTAGGCAGCGTAGAAGATTTGGCTCGATCACAGTTTCTACGGAATTTGATGCAAGGGGCTGGAACTTGAAAATGGCTAAAGAAAAAGGAAGCTACATCCTCATCCCAATGGGCCCAAAAAAGTCAGGGCTGCTTGACTTTCTGGCAATTTTTTCAAATTGTGTGGGATGAACTACTTTAGTGCAGGAGGAACCAATGAACTTGGTGCACGAAACTTCGACAGACACTCAGGAAATTACATCCATTTCCAAACTAATATTTAATTTTGAAATTCAGAGAGCATATCCAGAAATACAACCTTTTTTTCAGAAAAAACAACCCAAGATAGCTCTTCTACAGGCGTATTCCGATGCCTCAGACAGCTTTGACCCATCAGATGACTCATACTTCTCAGACGACTTCCTGGGACACGCAACGGAGTGCGATCGCCGACCCCCTATTTCAGAACAGGAAGATATAAGGGACTCCAAATTCAACAAAGCAATTTGTTATAAATCTCAGTTCATTACTTCAGATAATTGCATCCCAACAGACAATCTGAACACTCAGCTCAAAATCTACAGAAAAGCCCAGAAGAACAAAAGGCGCCATAGTATGAGAACTAGGTCTCAGTCAAAGCAATTCCCCTGGGTTTTAAAATCCTTTATTTTATTTCTATTCTGACGTGTATTTTCTTTATGTGCTTTTTTTTCTTCTATTTGTAACCTTTCTTTATTTGAATAAAATTCCTTTAATTGTAACCTTTCTTTATTTGAATAAAATTCCTTTACTTATCAAAAAAAAAACATCCTTTATTAAAAAAAAAGTGTAGTTATTAATTAAACGTGTAATACGGGACACAAATGTGTATCAACCCGTTAGCTTCTTTGTAACCCGTAAGTTAGCCAACTTCTCCTATAAAAGGAGGCTAACTTACGGGAACCCAAATGATCAAGGCTTTAGAGAATAGAGGCGCGGAGATAGAGAGATTAGGTTTTCCGCCGCTCTCTCTCTCTCTCTCTCTCTCTCTCGAGGGAGAGCAGCGGCGTTCATCACGATATACCAGATTCGGTTGATTATCTCATATCTTTCTATCTGCTTCTTCTTTACATGTTATGAATGTTTGATTGTTAAGTTTTGGGTTTATCAATTGGTATCAGAGCCGAGGCGTGAAACATGTTGAATCTATCTGCGATTTTTTGGATCTAACGAAGAACTGCTCTGCTTTTCTTCTTTTTTTCTTCACTGTAGAGTTTTGCTCCTGTAATCTTGTTTTTGAACGAAAATCCGTAAAAATTATACTGTTGGAATCGCCTCTTCAAAACGATTCTACAGCATATCTTTGTTTCTGATTTCTGCAAATTTTCATTTTCGAAGAACTCTACATGAAATTTCGAGTTTATGCTTTTACATGGCTGCAGAAACGATTTTGACTCGAAACAGATACAGGAGGAATCTCGAACTTCACGGCTATTCAGAACAGTTTTCAGATTCTCAAAATTCGAAGTTTTCATTTTGCAGGAACTCGACATTTAGGGTCTCGAATTCCTAAACTCGACAGTTTTAAAATTGAGAGTTTTAAACTCGAGAGTTTTAAAACTCGAGAGTTTTAAAGTCGAGAGTTTTAAAATCGAGAGTTTTAAAACTCGAGAGTTTTAAAATTTCGAGTTTTAAAATCGAGAGTTTTAAAACTCGATAGTTTTAAAACTCGAGAGTTTTAAAACTCGAGAGTTTTAAAATTTCGAGTTTTAAAAATTGCGAGTTTTGGAATTTCGAGTTTTGGAATTTCGAGTTTTAGGAACTCGATGTTTAGAGTTTCGACTTTCTTTTTTGAGATTTTTGGAATTTCTCGATATTTTGAATATTTCAAAGTTTGCAGTTTCTTGAAACTCAGAATTGTTCGATACTTGACATTCTTTACAGTTCATCGAAGCTTTACATTATAGGATATCTAAATGAATCTCTGCTTATCAAAGTTTTTAGAAGTTTTCGATGTTCTGATGTTTTTCAAACAACAAGTTTTCGATTTTCTGAGGTTTTCGAAACTCCAAAGTTTTCGATACTCCAAACATTTTGAAATTCTGAAGATTTCGATATTATGAGGTTTGTTTTGCAGGTGGATTTCGCCATTACTCTTCAAGGCAAACTCGAAATTAAAATCTCGAGATTTAAACCTCGAGATTAGGATTTCGAGTTTTTGTCTTAGAATTTTGTTTAATTTCACCTGCCCTCGAAATTCAACATCGCGAACCTCGACCTCGAAGAATTTCCTCAAAAACTCAAAATTCGAGATTTTCAGCGACACAGCACTGTTTTGGCCATAACTTTTGACTCGGTAATCCGATTTAAGCAAACGTTTTTTGTTAGAAAGCTAACGAAATGATCTACATTTGTTCACGGGCTATGCTCCAGAACCCATTCTCACGCGCCCTCACGCGCAGTCCTTGAGGGTCAAAACGTTAGTTTTCCGACAAACTTTGTAAACCACCGATGTCAAGGTCAAAACTTAGGCAAATCTGTTCAAATTATTCCAAAGTCAAACCTAAGGTATAAGCTACACTGTAGAGGTCCAAAAATCGTAGATAATTCAATCAACCTCGCGTCAACGGTCATCTTACAACAATCAACAATCAAGCACTGAAGCCTCCCCTAACTCATCAACATTGTGTGATCCTCAAACATGCTGAAATTCCAAATGATGAGCTTAGGGAAACCGTCATGTGTGGTACCTGTTCAGATTGCTCCACACACATGGCGGGTATGACGAGCTGTGAGCAATCAAACCTTGCACATTCTAAGGGGGAGTTTCAGTTTTCTCCTCCTGGCGCCTTACACCGACAAAGCAAGGAATCTCTCAACGGATGCAACATTCTAGGGGGGTGTTCAATGTTATCCTTCCCGGTGCCTAACAATGACAAAGCATACCGAGTGCTCCAGTTGAGGGGGGTACAGAGAGAAAATGAAGAATGTAATGAGACAACATGTCCCTATGGCTTAGTAAGCCCAACTAAGCCTACCCAAGGGACAAACCCGAGCGTGAGTGAGTGAGTGAGCGAGTGAGTGAGTGAACATTATGAGCGTTAGGAAGCAGAAGGCTCAAGTGAGCGAGAATACAATAATCAATGACGAGTCTGCTACCTCAACTGCCTACTATGAATTGAATATTTACTTCTAGCCACTCAAATACTCTGGACAATTCCCAAATAGGTTCAGGACTGATTTAATCAGATCCCGGGTAGAGGTCACTGCATCTTGTCCAACAGTGCATGTTTAACCCTACCCAAGACCACTCACTTGTCTCCCAATAGACAGGTGTTTAATCATACTTCACGGGGAACCGCATCTCTCATTACCGTCTCCTTCCGAGGCAAGTGATACTGACTACAGTGGCCTCAGCCCCATGCCACTGAACTTTCATTGATCACGTCGTGTCTAGTTACTCACTCCCAAATGTTTTGAAATTTTCTAGGACACAGATGCACCTTTTGAGTCAGTTGCAGGTCTACATGACCCGCGAGAACTTCCATAGGGCTCATCTATTATAGATGTAGACCAACGATTGGAAGGAAGTCCTGCTGTTGCAAAATAAGAATCACCAACATTTTCAGGTCATTGCTAAAGAGTTTATCTCTATAGTGATGATAACGGGCGTCTTCATGACCCCGGGGGGCTACGTTATCTTCTTTAATTCTGCTTGTTTTTCCTGTTTTATTTCCACAGAATAAAAGAATAAAGGCATGACGCCCCGATTCATCGAACCGTCATGAGGAGGAGAGTGTTCCACATGCTGTTTAACCCTCAAAAATCATTCTCGGACACTTCTCTCTGCCAACACTCTCTCTACTATCTCCGCAACTCAAATAGTCAGCTATGCTCACAAGGTAACCATCATTATGTTCCGCTGTGCCACCGACAAGTTCTCCTCAATGCATTCATTCCAAATAGTCAAAAAGACTACATTGTGGAGGGGACAAAGGTCAGATACTCAAACTGTTGAAGATGAATTCCATGGGCGTCTCCTATTCTCCAAAGAATATTCATTCTAGAGGCTTCACCGGACTTCATCCAAGCAGATAAAGAGCAACTTCTGGAAGGCAAAGACTGATTCTGAGACTGAGAAGTGAACTAAATTTGACGGAATTTCGGCCGAAAGGACAAGGGGTGGTGAGGGGATAATAGTCACGGACTAAATGTGGACAATCTGAAAGTAAGAGACTAAATTTGGAAGTGTTATAATAGTTATGGGACCAAAAGTGGATTTTTTTCTATTTTTATATTATATTTTGAAATCTCCTTTTCCAAATAACACTTGGCATATTTCTTTGTCCAAAAAATCATTGTTATTATATTTAAAAAAAAAGACATAATAACAATAAATCTCATCCACTAGTGTCATAATTCCTTGATTTATAATGGCTCACTAATATACATCTCAAGAAGTATGCCACAAAATAGACCATTTATTTCTATGAAGTAAAGTTTTGTGATTTACTTTTCACAAAGTGTGCCATAGTAGCATTTAGTCATAAAAGTCAAAATATGTAATTGAGTCCATTTGACTTCAGAATGTCAAAATCCGATTGATGGAGTATATGGCCCGGGAACCCCCGGCCCACAGACTCCTACTACTCCAATAAAGGCCCAACAGGCCCATAAAGCACAACAGGCCCAAATCACAGCGCCCAGAGTACCAAGCAGCCCACAATATGCACTAGGGGTGCCTTCGGCCCCCTGGTCGAAGGCTCTAATTCTCACAGGAGGGCCAAGACAGGAAAACAAGGTTACTGGGAAAAACGGCGAAAATCAGTAGCCCTCGGCAGTTGGAGCCCTCGGCACTAAGGGGGTCCCCGATACTCAGAGCCCTCGGCTAGCCATCTACTGCCGAGGGCGCCTTTTCCGACATAATATCCGCTCCACATGCGTATGGATCACCGTACCCTGTACAACGTCCCATCCAACAGCCGCATTAAATGCGGCCACATGCGTTTGCCAGCGCCAACCAGTTGAGGTGACCTCTCGGCCAATGGACGCTTGACACGTGTCCCTGTCCGGCATTTATTGCTACTATAAATAGCACCCCATTTCCTCATTTGTAACCACGCTAAAAACACTGAACACTTTCTAATATACTTTCTCTCTCTATACTTACTTACTCTGACTTCTCTCTAGTTATTCTCCGTAATAACCCCTCGGATAAGCTACCCCCCGGGTACACTATCCATCATTTGGTGCTCTCGTTGAGAGGTCGAACAATCAAGTAAGAAACCCTCCCCCTCGACCAAACACAAAACACCCATCTAAAATGGTGAGAACAACTCGTGCCAACTCCAAGAACGTGGAGGACAGGAACCTGGCCCTCGGCGAGGTCGACGTCCCCGAAGCCTCAACAGGGCTCTCGGGGGCGGCGTCATCGCCGGGTTGGACCAGACGGCTGTCGACCTACGCCAGCAGATTCAGCAAAATGCCCCTGATGCCCGCTTCGGCATCGAGGCCAAGAAGAAGGACCAGAGCGAAAATCAAATTAGTCCTCCGGTCATCACCATCGACGTACAATCGGCGCTCTCTGTCTTCATCCAGACACTCACCCAGAACCCGGGTGCCTTCGGCACTTTGGTTCCCCACCAACCTCAGGTCGGGGAGAATATTATGCCTCCCCCTCATCCACGACCCCTCGGTAACCCGGTCCTCCGGATGGGGAACTCCGAGGGGTCGTGGCCCAAGATACGGCCTCCCAGGAAGTCCAGTCCCGGGACCGCCACAACATGAACAAGGAACAACTCCGGACCTCGGCCCTCGAGAGACTCGG